GTAGGTGATCAAGCGTTCACGCAGCCTGACTGCATTGCAGGCTTTTATGCTTGTAGAAACATTAGACCTATTGCGCTAGGACCAGGAACACCGTGGCCTAATCGAGCAGAAGCTGCAGTTCGTACTTTCAAGAAACAGGTTACACTGATGACGAACTCGTTTGCAGATGATCCCGCACTAGCGGATGTCACTTATCGACAATTGGTCCGTCAAGCTTGTCTTGCTAGGAACCCCTCCATTACTTACGGTGGTGTAACTCCACTAGAGATGGCATTTGGTCGTAGACCGGCAGACATCCTGAACCTAGAGGCTGCTACTCCTTCTCAATTGACTTCAGATGTTCCAACACCAGAGAAGAAGATAGAAGCAGTAAGGATGCTTGCTACCAAGGCCTATCTAGAGGCAAAACAAGCAAAACTCAACATGTCTTCAGGTCCTTTCCCTCCAGGCGCCAACATATTCTACTGGGCTGAAAACAAGAACAAGATCACGTCAGATGGTAGTCGTGGCGGTAAGTGGGTTAAGGGTAAGCTACTTACCATAGAAGGTTCCATGGCAGGCATTGATCTTGGCACTCGCATAGTCCGTACCAATGTGTCAAAGATACGAAAGGGTTTCAATCCGACAGAAGATGTTGACATCCCACTCGACCTTTCCGACGGTCGAGATGCTTCAGACATTCTGATGACTGCAGACGCTGAACAAGTTTCACCTTCTGGCCATTCTGTTCTCGAGTCCCACTGGCAACCAGTTACCAAAGGTAAGATCGATTTCCTAGAGCTATTTAATGGTTCAGCTAGACTTAGCCACACGGCCGCTCTAGCGGGACTCCGAGTAGGACCGCCAATTGATCTGTGGACTGGATTCGACATTAAAAACTTCCGAAGGAAGAAAAAGAGCCATGAGTGCGATAAACACTCAGCGTCCTGAAGTCATTTTTATGGCACCACTCTGGCACCACATTGCGCACCATGGTCACAGATGAGCAATATCAACGATAGGGCAACTCGTGAAGAAAAGCGCAAACGCTACTATCCGATGCTAGAATTCTGCACGCAGGTTGCTATCAATCAAATTGCCCATGGCAGGAAGTTCATTATTGAGAACCCTGCTGGATCCATGTTATGGTGGACTAAGTGTTTCAACAACCTGCTATGGTCCACTTTGCACATGTGTGCTTTCGGAACGCGCGATCCTAGTGGCTATTACTACTACAAGCCAACTAGTTTGATGCACAATTTTGCTGAAGGTGTGTTTTCAAGGCTTGTCCACTAAAGAAGGCAAGAGCCTCGGGGGTGAACCGCACTAACGGTAACCACAAACACAAAATGCTTGAAGGAAAAGCTCGCGCAAGTACATCCTTATGCATTTTGTCGTGTTGCATTCTTCCATTGGGAAATTGCAAACCGCTGAATCATTTTTACTTGAAGACATAACAGACAAAATTGTATCACACAGTGAACTGAAGTCACCTGTCTTGCTTTGTCAAGATGGTTTTGCATTCACGCATTTCTCAGATGAGAAAGCTTTTTCAGTGCATGTTGCGCACAGAACCGCACTACCGGTTACGCATTCGTTTGCTGACCCAGCAACGCCGTAACCACTCATGAGATAAGAGAAGCCATGAATCATCTTACTCGTGTGCCAAACGGTACTGAAACATTGCCGGGTAGCTACAATGTTACATTCGATCAATATCTTGGAATCCTTCGTCAGTTCTTTCTTCCGACACTTCGGTTTCAGTGTCCCTCAGTGATGAAAGGTACATTTGGTCATCTTAGAACCATGTACAAGAACAAGCCTGGTGTAGTTCTCATGCGCAACAAGAACAACTTCTCCAAGATCTATGTAATGGGTCATCAACGAGTAGCTTTGGACAAGCTCAATCCACAACACTGGATGACAGTATTTTACTGGAATGACAGTGGCAAGATGCCTCCACGACCACGAGCACCAATAAACAATCCAGTGGCAATGGACCTCGGCGATCCACCAAGACAGCCTCCACATCCTGGTCTCGCATCTGATCCGAACGACGATGCTGATATGGACGATCAGATGAACGATGCACCGGATGAGGATGACGCCGACTTCCCAGCATTGGAACCTACATACAACCGACACCACCTGCACCTCCAATGCCTCCAGGACCAACACCTACAGTTCCAAACACTCTGGTCTGCAGACACTTGATATTAACTCCACCGGCGTCACCAAATACTCCACCACCTCATCCACCGACAACACCTTACGCGTCGCCCGAGACACCACACCAAGCTTACCAACCGTACCACAGAAGCGACACCACAAGTCACATCCACCTGAATCCAGCATCCATACACCATCACAGCCCCCCCAAGGCCATCAATCCTGCGTTACCGTTTGTACCTAAGAGCCTAAGATTGTCTCCAAACCTGCTCCCGCTAAGCAAATGCCTGCGTCGTCATCTAGCCAGCCTCCTAGCAACCATCTGGGGGGTGATGTTTCGCATGTTTCACGCGATTTGCAGGTTTCTTGGACTTCATCAGCATTACAACCGCCTACCGGTACAATGGTATTGCCGATACCTACCGAAGAAGCAGACAGTGATGCTGAAACAATACCTGGTGACCCGACACTTGTTCCAAAACCCGTTGAAGAAGAAGAATATGTCACCGGAGAAGAAGAAGAAGAAGAAGATGAAGAAGAAGAAGAAGACAATGAATGAGACAGACTCAGAGACGTTTGATCCCGACGCTTTGTACATTGACGAGGCACAATGGTCATACCTGACCGCTGAGCACAAGCTTAGTTCAAGCGCAGCATCTTTCCCAGTGCCTAGGTCCTAGGTATATCGATTCTGTTCCAGTCAATGTTCGCGCCGTTGAATCAACGTTTGTTTATGCAGGCGATGGCCGCTACGTTGACATACACGCTACACCGAACTACCGGTTTTCGCACCGGTCGCGCACTAAGGATAAGTCAGACATTGCAGAAGCGTATTCCTGTCTAAGTAAGGAAGACAAGGCATACTTGACATTATTCCAATCCACAGACGATAAGTTTGCCTACTTGGTAGGAAAGAAGCGCAAGGAAGCAACACAGCTGGAAAAACGTGAACTTGCCAAGCACTTCCTGGAAGTCAAGATGGCAGAAACACAATCGTGGATCTACAGTGATGTCTATGACCTTGTTGATACTAGAAAACTACAAGTTCGCAACTTCGTATACGGAAGATGGGTTCTTACCAGGAAGCGCGACAAGGACGGTAAGTCCTTGATGCGCAAGGCCCGATGGGTTCTTAGAGGATTCAAAGACAAGCAGAAACAGCAACAACAGACAGATTCGCCGGCAGCATCTAGATCTGGTTTTCGCTGTGTAACTCAGGTCGCTGCTGATCATCGTTGGTCACTGCTTTATATGGATCTCAAGACAGCGTTCCTACAAGGAGAAGCATATGATGAATCTCATGGTGTCATTTGCCAGATGCCGTCAGAACTAGGATATCCGCCATACATGGCTGCAGCAACGTGCGGGCAGGTATCGAACCAATACCTCAAGAGGCCGACCAACCGGCCAAGCCAGTGCCCATGAATGTTCGAGGTCAGAGCGAGGACGATCACAACCTGCAGGGACACGTTGGGCCCGCAGAGATGAACCTTGCGACGCTCGGTAAGAGCTAATGCAAAATTGTTCAGCCAACTTTCGATACTTGCATTTTCGTTCGTTCTGAGAGCGCCATGCTCTAGACCGCTCTAGTCGTCAATTCAAGTCTTTCTGCAAGCTTACGTGTACAGTTTGCCTCAAGCTCCTTCGTTGTACGTAGATCTGATCAGCATGCTACAAAGCAAAGAAAATGTGTGTCTGTTTTGTTTCTTGCTTTTGGGCCCCCATTCGTTGCCACTTCATGATGGTTATATGTATGCTCTTACGCAATGCATATGACTGCCAATATTTGGCTCAAGGTACATCTTGCGCGATAGAAAAGCCGCTTAGCCCGCCTTCGCTCGCACGCCCTTGTGGGACTTGCTAGTCTGTAAACCGATCCAGGTTGATACTGTTGTTCACCGCTCCACTGCGGGGGATTCCGCCCTCACCCCCTGCGCCCTGTGCCTGCCACTCCTTTGCTTTGCGCTCGAAATCTGCACTGCGCGCGTGACCGCGACACAAGAAAACGTCCGACAAGTTTGGCGCGTACCCACGCGGACGTGTGGACAAAATCCTTCTTGCAACCCTCATAGCACGGAATCGCTCACAGAATCCTTCTTTTAGGGCCTCGTAGCACAGAATCCTTTTCCGACCTCTACTGGACGGGGCCCTGGGGGGGGCGTGCGACTACTATTATTTCTTGCGGCGCAGAACCCTTCTTACAAGCCCTCGTAGCACAGAATCCTTCTTAAAGGCCTCGTAGCACAGAATCCTTCTTACAAGCCCTCGTAGCACAGAATCCTTCTTAAAGGCGTGTAAGAAGGATTCTGCGCTACGAGAAGTAGCCGCGGCCCCCCCCCAACGACGACTATTTTTCCGAGTTCGAAGGGGGGGTTCACGATTACTACTACTACTATACTACTACTATACTACTACTACTACTACTACTACTACTACTACTACTACTACTACTA